AGGATGGTGGTGGTGCAATGTCCCTGGCACATGGAGACTCTGCAAAGGAGCCGAACCTGCCTTAAGCTGGGGCTGTGACCTCTTGCCTTTTCCAGGACATGCCTGAACATCTATCTACTCTATAACTGTCAAGACCTCGCTCATTAATCTGTAACACACGGCACTGCTTTGGGAAGAGGGTCATTTCAAAGAACTGGAAAGGCCACTGGAGAGTAAAAACAGAGGCAGCAACCTCACACTCATGTGATGAGCTCTGGCAAACCCTCCGGTGGCAAGACTAAGGCCCAGGGAAGCCTCCAATTAGAGAAAATCAGCCATAGCTCCCTGGAATTCTGCACCCTGGAGGGAGGGACCTGGTTTAAGGCTAAGCTCATCGTTTGCACCACCATCACTCAGCAGTACCTATGACCTAAGGGAGAAGGGGCATCAGTAGGATCTGAGGTCCCCACACTGGACCAAAGTAATACCAGAAGAGAGGCTGAACAGCATTCTGAACCTCACCAGCCTCCCTTGCTCTAAGCTCCCAAAACAGACCATCAATTCATCTATGAAGCAGAAAGGGTAGTTTCAGGATGCCCCAAATTCCACTACAGTCAATGTGTCCCAAAACAACTTCCCTAAATGCCCTGAAAACTCCCTCCTGAGAGTCCAGAAGTCAGGCCAAAGGGCAGTCAGTGAGAGCGCTACAGATCCCATGGCTGGCCTTGGGGAGGGGTGACTGTTATTCAGGGGTGGTTAAGACTCAACCCTCCCATTGGTTTGCAGATTAACAACAACCCCATAAACTGATCAACTGTACTGAAAAGCAAACCCGGTACAGGAACAATCAGGAAGAAACTGAAATCATCACGGCATCTACACTAAGTTGAAGATGCTAGAGATCTACATAAAAAGGCCTTTAAGCACCATTATTTAACATCTAACTAAGCTTGTGTCGTAAGTCTGAATTCACCAAGTTGATCTCTGGGTACAATTAGAAACTTTGAATTCACTTTCTTCTGGCACATTGAGATTCTTGGTTGTGTGAAGCAAGACAACACTGTGACCTAGATGTAGGATGTTCAGACAAGAGGGTGAAATTTACAATATCTTTACCTCGGAGGGGGCCTCGATTACTACCATTCTCTAGCCATATCCCAACTACCAGGTACTCAAAGGCTACCAGGTACTCAAAGGCTAAGCGGGACACTTTATATTAACTCAGGAAGTAGAGCCTCACCATGCTGGGCCTCTGGGCAGAACTGAAGAGGCCTGGCTAAAGCAGGCCAGCAGACCGGGCTCCCTCTCATTTCTCAAAAACTTCACACAATCCAAACAAAGTTAACCACCTTCCTGCTTACACAGCCCCTCTGACAACACTCTGCCGCCTGGGCAGAATTAAGTCACTGTTCTCCAGGCAGGGCACATAGAGTCAGCATCAGCAGAGAAGGCAAGCCCCATTCAGAGGTCCTATACCCGGAACTCTGAGACTGAAACAACAACAAGAGGAGAGATGAGTTCACAAGCGTAAGGGTAGGGGGAGGAAAGGGGAGGTCCTCAGAGAGGGCTCACACTTAGGTATGGCCACACATGATGCATCAGAAGGCCATAGCCTGGATGAGGTTACGATCTATTTTGAGAGTAATATTATAGTATCTGTTTGCCAGCCCCACCCTCCGTGTGTCATCACGGAGGACTATGGACTCCAGCAGGGTTGCATGCTGCCATCCCCAGGATGTAGCTCATCTCAGAGGAAACTCCATTTTGGTGCCCCTGGGGCTTTCGAACAAGATGAATCTCAACATCAGTTAAAAGTACTCTGCCATCTTTCTCCTGACACCACTAAAAGAAGCCTGACATCTTCCTGTCAAATGTTCTTTTTCCCAAACACACAATCTGTTCTGCTTGGACTCCATTAAATATCATCTCATGGTAATGGGGCCAAAGGTAGCAAAGGCCACCACCATCAGAATTCCCTAAACTGGATGCTAAGCTCAGGTTTCCAATTAAGGCCTTTACATTTACCACACGGATGTGGGGCTGTACTTCCTAACAGATCACTGATGATTACCTAGTCACATGACCACAGATGCAGTTCTTAATTCAGGTGCCCATTGCCACCAAGAGGCTTTGGGAAACAAATTTGAGCACTATGGTATTTACCACACTCCTCTGTGATCCCAACACTGAAATACAGAAATCCTTTTTTTGAACGTTATATTTATAAGCACACTGTGCAAAGTGACAATTCTCAAATTTGCAAATTAGAAGTTACCAAAAAAAAAGTTAGGAGGACCTGAGTTCAAATCCGGCCTCAGACCAAATACTTGACGCTTACTAGCTGTGTGACCCTGGGCAAGTCAATTAACCCCAAATGCCTAAAAATTAAAAAAAAAGTTTACCAACCAGAGCATGAAAATACTTCGGTACATCAAAAAACAAAACAAAAAAGCAACAATAACCTAGCCACTCCCCTCCTCACCCAATTCTTGACAAGGAAAATTGTAGGAGGGATGACTTTGATATCTGCTGAGTTAAAGTGGTTTTGACACAGTTAAGCATCTCTAAATATGGTTGGGGGAAGGGATGAGCCAATGACTGGACTAGGAGAAGGCTAGCAGGCTGGGAGGGATGCTTATGATGCATACCCACACAAGACTGTGTGATCTAGCCTAGGAGTCATGGAACCCCAACAGTGAGGTACTGGGTGACCTGAGGTCAATCACTTAATCTCCCTAAGCCTTAGTTTCCTCATCTGCAGAATGTAAATAATGCCACTAGCCCCATCTATTTCACTGAGGTGGTCTAAGATCAAATGAGATAATGAATGGACAAGCACCACACAAAATTAGGAGGAAAGAACCATTCACAGGTGTGTCCCAGGTCAAAACAGAATGGTGAACATGACTGCCCAGAGTATTCCTGCCTGGTGACAGCCTTAGTCCTGAATTGTGGCCAGACTAGCCCACCTGCTCTACGTGCCAGGGGAAGGGGGGAAGGGCCTGCCAGGTGCCGGGGTTCACAGCAGCTCTCCTTCAGAGCACACCTACCTGGGTTGTTTATGAGGCCCTGGCCACTGGGGAGCTGTCAGCTGAGTCTCAATCTAGGTTCGGCTCATCTGGGTCCTTTGTCAAAGTCACACTCCTCAGGTTGTCCAAGAGTCGAATTCACCACCACTGTCACCACCACCATCACTGTCACCACCACCACCCCCACCACCACCACCACCACCACCACCACCACCACACACACACAGAGCTGAGATTTAAAGTTGAAAGAGGATGCTCGACTTTTTTTAGACTCTCTGAAGATGACACCCCCCCCCCACAGCAACTTCATGTTCAAATCACCACAGCTCTAAACCTTTGTTTTGTGTAATAATAGCTCCCATTTCTATGGTCTTTTAAAGTTAACAAGGGGCTTTCTTCACAGCCACCCTGTGTGGTGGGCATTACAAGTATTATCATCACCACTTTACAGATGAGGAAACTGAGGCTCAAAAAGATGAGGTCCCTTGCACAAGGTCACACAGTAACTAAGTGCTAGGCCTGGGATTTGAACCCCAGCCTCCTGACTCCTGACCCAGCCCTCTTTCCACAACACAATGCTCGACGCATAGGTAATCTGAGCCTCAAGAACAAGCAGCCTGACTTCTCGCTGGGCTCACAAAGCCTACCGAGGACAGAGGCAGGCCAGCCTCTGGCCCTGCTGACCAGGTCGCCCTCCAGTAAAGCACTCAGCAGAGCTCTCTCTGCACGCTGGACCAGGAAGAATAGTCCCTAAGAGGACTGAAGGATGGCAGAAGTTACCCCGAAGCTCAGAGAACAACCAGTTTGAGAGCTCAGATCATTAGCAAGGGATGGCCTATTTCCCACAGCAGACCTAAGGCTGACTGGGGAAGGATTGCCAATGCATTTGCTTTCATGTTCTTTCACAACTAAACACCTGCTCTGTCTCCAGCCATTAGAGAAAGACAGTTGGTGCAGATGGGGTTGGAAGCAGGGAGGAAATAAAAGAAAATAATTTTCTCCCCTGTAACGACTTTGATAGTTCCTGTGTATTTAGTTTTGGATTACCCTCACTCCAGCTTACTTTAATTAGGACCCTCTAAAGCTAGTCAGACGGGGATTCAAGTCACTCCACTTAAAAACACCTCCGAGGTGCAGCAAGGCCAACACTCATCCTCATTGTTTCCCCAAAGACAAGTCAAAGATGCAGTGTCATGGTTGGAAGGCACCTCAGAAGTCATCCAGAGAGAACAGAAAGCTCCTCCATGACATCTCTAACAACTGGGGAGCTCACCACCTCCTCATCAACTCATTCGACTCTGAAACAGGTCTAACTGTTGGGGAGTTTTAAGTTACACTGAACCAAAAATGTGTCCCTCCACCACTGCTACCCACTGCTCCAAGATCCACCCTCTGGCACCAAAGAAAACAAATCTAATCCCTCCCTCTCCACATATGACATCTCTTCAAGCACTTAAAAACAGTTACTTTATCCTTCCTCAGTCTGTGTCTTCTCTTACTGCCTTTATGAATGCTACAAAATTCATATTTTCTCCCTCCCCTTGAAATCTGCAAGGGATTATATGCTATAAGAAACAGACTTCAGTGTGGTAAGAGCTCTAATAGCAGGGGGGAAGAGGATGGAGGAGTGACCTCACCTATTTCCAACATGACAGCTGGGAAAACCCAATACATGAATGTGAGACGGTTTTGTAAACTTCCCATCCAAAAGAATGAGCAGCAGACAATCCCCCTATGGTTCCATACCTCTTACATCATGCCTAGCAAAGACCTCTCTCTCAGCTGGGTTTGCTGGATGAGACGATAGTGCTAAATGGAAAACCCACAATCAACTAGGCCAAGGATAGCTCATAAGGGCCTCCTTTTCCAGTTGTACATTAGCTTACCACCTGCTGGCTCCTTAGCTGGGGCCCACAAACATCAAGTGGGTGACCTCCAACCCTGACTGACAAGGAAAGCTCATCTTTGAGGACACAGTGAGAGGTGACTTACCCATCTCTACCTTTACTGACAATCTTCACTTCAAAGTAATAAATGCCACAGGCAGCAGGTATGGGGTGAGTTGCACGAACTGACGCAGCATCTTTGTGATTTTTGCCATGACCTGGAAGAAAGGGGTGGGGAAACTTTAGGAAAAGGAACTGCTAACAGCAGCCTCCCTCCTTACTGTTCGGTGATTATTACAGTGGAGCCCAGAACAAGGACTCACCACAAGTAATTCTCACACAGTAAAAGGAGGAATTCAACGACAATTCAATCAGTTAAAAGTATGGCCCTGCAGGTAACTATGTAAATGACCTACAGAATATGCTACGGCTGCAGGTTTTACTTTGTCTCACCTCTTCCAGGACTTGGAGAGACAGAAACAACAGCACTGACTGAGAAACTCTGGCAGCAATACAGATGAAAACTAGGTAACAATGTTCCCTAATAAAAGGTTGTGTGTATGTGACTTCTAAAGATAAGAAGGTGATGTCTGTCAGGCCTCTCAGGAAATTATGGCAGCCACCTTCGGAGCACCTGGGAAGTAGGGGTGGGAGAGAATCAATGTCCTTTTCTATTTACTTAAACGTTTCCACTTAAACACAGAAATGAGGGGCTTCCTGAGCAGGTCTAGCAGAGAGTTGTGCCAAGAGGCCTCTGGCTTATAATTGGGGAGGTCATCACCAATAGATTAACATCAGGAAAACTAGAAAATGGCAAATGGTTTGATAGAGTCTGAAGTACAGAAAGCTAAGAACCCTGTGTTGCAGGGCCCCTGGAGGGCCCAGTGCATTATGTAAGGTGCAGGCAGAAGATACAGAACACCTGCTGTGACTCCTGGAAATTTCATTAAGCCCTCAGGACAACCTTCCCCAGGGAAATAGGGGGGGGGGGAGGGGGACCCCAAACTGAATCAGGCTGAATTCAGAGAACACAGACAAAAGAAGGGTGGAAAGAGCATTAAGTGTATAGGTAAAAGGCTTAGGTTTTAGCTCAAATCACTCGGACTCCTTGGGCCTCAGTTTGCCTTCCCCCTCCCCCCCAAAAAGGAAAGGGTTAAGAGTAGATGATCTCTAACCCTAACCCCAAACCCCTATGGCCTAAGTCTATTTGTGATGAAATAAGGAGACAAAGCTATGAGGTAGGACACACTTTTACACACACACATACACACACACACACACACACACACACATACACACACGAGGAAAGCCCTCTCTGATCATGGAAAGGCCTGAAAGGGAAGGAATGAGCATGGGGATGAAGGACGGAAATTGGGGGCGGGGGGGGTGCGGAGAGGGACTGTGGGCCCTCCCCCCACCCCTATCCCCACCCCCACCTCCCCTCCCCAAATATCAGCCGGAGGCTCGGACAGCAGGGAGGAGATTCCGCTGCAAGGTGCGGTGGGAAAAGTCCCGGATTGGGCAATCACAAGGCCCGGGTTCAAATCCTAGCTCCAGCACCTGGGAGCCGTGTGACCTTGGACCAGTCTCTTTCCCTCTCTGAGCCTCAGTTTCCTCACCTGTGAAATGGGGGATGGTGGAGGGGGCGGTGCGCTAGGCGGTCTCTAAGCTCTCTCTAGATCCCATGAGCCCTGTCCAAGGGGGGCCCGGCCCCGCGGCCCCCCGCGGCCCCCTCGTCCCCCACGGCCCCGACCCCGGCACCTTTGTAGTGGACGCGGAGGTTGCTCTGGGAGAGGCCGATGTAGTTGTACTTGTCCTTGGGGCTCCAGGAGCGGGGCAGCGGCGTCTCGTGCTGGTTGACAGCCGGGTAGAGGCGCTGCAGGCGCCGGGTCAGCTCCTGCTCCCCGGGTGAGGGGAGCCCGCCAGCGCCGCTGCCGCCCCCGCCGCAAGACTCGCCAGCTGGGGGGCTCCCCGCTCCCGGATCCGCCGCCGCTGCCGCCATCTTGGAGGGAGCCGCTATTGTGTCACAGAGAGGCGGGGGTAGACAAGCACCGGATCCGCCGCACCCAGCCAATAAGCTGCGCGCCCACGGAGGCCGCAGGGAAACTGAGTTCGACTTGCGCGTCCACACGCGTGTCTTCCCTTCGGAATGACTACATGTCCCACAGTGCCGGCGGCCTCAGGGGCGGCCCAAGTTCATTCGGCAGGGCGGACGCGCACAGCTTGCTGGGAATGGTAGTCCGTATCTCTTCAGTTGGAACCCTGTCAAGTGGAAACTTTCGGAGGGCAAAAACTACAATTCCCTAGAGGAAAGCGGCCTCGGCCTCTCAGCCTTCGCCACACCCCCGAAGCCACAGTCATTCTGTTGCCTTGGAGCGTGTTAACTTGTTTGTCTCTAATTACTACTTGTCACCTGTGTGAGTGTCCTAGGCAAGTCTCCCCCAAGCGGACGTGACTTTCTCCAGGCGATTACATGTGTCTTTACTTCCACGACCTCCGATACAAGGGGCCAGAGCTGCTCCTAATCGGGGGTAGGGAGCCTGACCTAGCTGCGTGCCGCGCGACTCAGGCAGTATCGCGGCCACCCCCGTGCTCGGGGGTCTTCTCCAGGCAGCGTTTCCACGGCGACAGACTGTAAACAAATACCGGCTGAGGCTCCTGGAGTCAGCCGCTGTAGGTTGCGGGCGAGCGGTTGATGCCCTAGGAGAGGGACGGGCCCCCAGACTATGGCTCTCCCTCGACCGGCAAGCGATATTACTTTCTCCCAAGCAACAGAGAGGTATGGCTTGGGCAGAAGCTTGATTCCCCCTTCTTGCTTTCTCCTTCCGGGAGAGCTCCAGCCCGGTCTGGGTGAACCCAAGAGAAAGCTGGGCTCAACTGCAGGCGGGCAAAGCTCGTACCCTGCCTGCAAGAGACTGGCTCTCGCTGTGAGAGTGCCCAAGTTTATTAGGATAGTAATTGCAAATAATAACTAGTATTTACATAGCGCTTTAGGTTTCCAAAGTGCTTTGTACATGGTAGATGATTTGGTCCTCACAGCCCTGTGAGGTAGGTGCTAGTATTTATTCCCATTTTATAGAAGAGGAAACTGAGGCATACCCTGATTCAACAAATGATTCAGTAAACCCGGAACAACTACAAAATCCTGGGTTTGGCTTTTAAACCCTTTTATAACCTGTCCTTTTCTTACCTTTAAAGTCTAAATTACACCTTACCTCCCTCTTCTCCTCTATCCTCCAACTCTGCTGTCCATTGACACTGAACTTCTTGCTCTTTATCTCCCTACTCTTGGCGTTTTCACTGGATGTCCCCCATGCCTGGGGCTCTATCCTTCCTCATCTCCACCTCCTGGCTTCCTTCAAGTGTCTGAGGCCCACCTTTGGCAAGAAGCCTTTCAGGGCTTCCTTATTTCTAGTGCCTTACCTCTGAGACTATCTCCCGTCTATCCAGTATGTCTTTTCTTTGTACAAAGTTGTTGGCATATTGTCTGCCCCATTAGACTGTGAGTTCCTTAGTAATATCCATCTCCTTAGTTGATCCATCTCCAGAAAAAGAACTGACGAGCTCTTAAGTGAAGATTGAAGCACTTTATTTTATTTATTTTTCATTTTCTTTACTTTTCTTGCTTTTGTTTTGTTTCATTTTTTTTTTGTAACATGGCTAACGTGGAAATTAGTTTTGAATGACTTCACATGTATAATTGACATATTGCTTGCCTTCTCAGTGGGTGGGGGGAAGGGCTGGAGGGACGGAGAGAATTTGGAACTCAAAATTTATAAAAATGAACATTAAAAAAATAAAGCAAAGAAATGGATATTAAAAACAATAATAGCTAGCATTTCTATAACACTTACTATGTGCCAGGTACTACTATAATCCCCATTTTACAGTTGAGAAAACTCAGGTTAAATAACTTGTGCAGGGTCACAGAGTCGATATGTGAGGACAAATTTGAACTTGGGTCTTCCTGACTTCAGGCTCCTCTCTCTATCCACTGGGCTACCTAGCTGCCTCCTTGCAAGCAGGGACTGGCACTGTCTTTCCTTGTACCCCAGTGCTTACCATAGTGTCTGACACATAGTAGGCACTTAAAAAATGCTTGTTGACTTGACTTGAAGCTAAGCTAGGTTAAGGGACTTGCCCAGGATCACACAGACAGAAAGTGGCTGAGGCCGAGATTTGAACTTTGGTTTTCCTTACTCCAAGCACACGCTTTATCCGTTACTGACACCTAGTGCCCACTCCATTAGTTTGGAGTCATGGAATAACTCTTATTTCCATGGTGTCTTAAGGTTTGCAAAGGGCTTCCTCACACCAGCCCTGTGAAGTATGTATAATCCCTACCAGTATTATCCCTCTCCTCATATTTCAAGATGACAAAACTGGGACTTTGGTAGCTGAAACCATTTACCCTGGGGCACAGAGGGCCTAGTAAAGTGTCAGAGGCAGATTCGAATCCAAGGTTGCCTGACTCCAGCTCCAATTCTTTCTTTCTGTTCTACTCTCCTGTGTCTCTCACAAGATTTAGAGCTGGAAGAGATCTTGGAGATTTAGTCCAACCTCTCATTTTAGAGAGGAGAAAACTGAGATCCAGAGTAGGGAAGTGATTTGCTCTAAGTTACACAAGTGACAGAGCCAAGAATAGACCTCTCAGCTTAAAAACAGAGAAGGAAATTGGGACCTGGAGAAAAGAAGAATTTGCTCCAGATCACACAGGTTAAATTCGAGGTGCAGTCCTATTAGGTGGAGAGATTCACCGATAATAAAAAAACCTCTTGCTTCTATAGCACTTAGGATGACACAGTTTAAAACTGGAGTGGTCCTTAGGCCTCAAAACAATCAAAACTCTACATTTTACAAAGGGATAAATTAAGGCCCAGGATGGTCACGAGTCTTGCCCAGAATCACACAGCTGGAAAGTAAGAGAGCAAAGTTTTCTGACTTTGAATCTCTTGTCCTTTTCACCACTTCTCACATCCTATCACACTCCCCCTCAGTTCCCATCTCAGCTCCATTACCATTCATTTGTATGTCCTTAGGAAGATCACTTCCTTTCTCCGGGTTTCAGCTTTCTCATCTGTAAAATTAGCAGGTTGGACTAGATGATCTCCACAGGCCTTCCCAGTTCTTAAATCCAACGATGCCTTTCTTGAAGTTCACGAACTGCACAAAATCAGTTAAAGTGATACTGCTCCCAGCCCCTAGCGCCCCAAGAGGTAAAGGACAATAAGGATACACAAACAGTTAGGATGTCCTGTGAACTAATACCTACATTCATTGAATTAAGTAAAACACAAGGGATTTGCAGTCAGCCTACATTCAAATCCCAGATCAGATAACTGTATGGTCTTCTCAAGTCACTGTTCCTCATTTGCAAAGTAAAACCTATGAAGTTATCTTTCATATCAGCTATTGGCAAAGGGGGAGGTGCATGTTGGTAGCTGTTGAATGAAGAGGCCTTAGAAGGTGAAAGGTGTTGATGATGAAGATGAGGACCTGAATCAGGGCTTCTTCACAGAGGATTTTTCCCATTGTTTTCACAGGTTCTATAAATGATGAAATGCTTTGGGCATAATAAGTTCCTAATAAATGGTTGTTGAGTTAATAAATACTCACCCCACTGCCCTGTGCCAAAACTTAAGAAAACCTGTTATCAAATCTGGCCTCAGATACTTACTAGCTATGGGCAAGTCACTTACCCTCTGTTTGCCTCTGTTTTCCTTAACTATGAAATGGGGATACTAATAGCATTTACATCCCAAAGTTGTCGTGAGGATCAGGTGAGATAATATTTGTAAAGTGCCTGGCACATAGTAGACACTATAGTAATGTTCCTTTATAGGGGCAGCTAGGTGGTGCATTGGATAGAGCACTGGCCCAGGAGTCAGGAGGACCTGAATTCAAATCCCAGCCTCTGACACTTACTAGCTGTGTGCCTCTGGGCAAGTCACTTAACTCAGATTGCCTAGCCCAAAAAAATTTTTTTAATGTTCTTTTATTAAGGAGCTCACTGTCTAATTGGGAAGATAATATGCCAACAACTTTGTACAACGAAGATAAATACTAGATCAGTTGAAAAGAATCCAGTATGGTCTGGGTTCAGATATTGGCTCTGATACTACTACTTTGAACTTGGGCAGGTTGAAAAATAAGAACCTAGAACGAGTTTATTTCTAAGGCCTCATCTCGAAGTGTAACCTCTGTTATGCTTGATCCTTGGGATTTCTCATCAGGGGGAAAAAACCCTGGCCACAGGTATTTGTATTGGCACCAGCTGAATTCCCCTTTGTTTTGCCTGGAACTTCGAATCCATCTAGAAGGGTGTGAAATGCTGAGAAGCAGTATCATGACCCATTCTCATGGTACCCTCCTTTCGATGAGATTCTGAGTGCTGTAAGAAGTTACCAGCTGTTAATAGGAAGGGAACAGTAATACCCCCTGCCCTAAGGCAAGTCAAGTCCAGAATGCGACCCCACTCTCTTTAAACCATTTTGAAATGGAACTGAAGAGAAACCCTTTCCATTGGGACTGGTGGAGAGATGGAGGGATGCGGGAACAAAATGGAATTGCTTCAACACAATCTGGCTCCAATGGAGACAACCCTAACTACCTACCCATGGGGCTGGAACCCTGTTGGAATTTGGTAGACCACTGAAGATGGGAGAACAGCACCACCTAGAGGACATCTGTTCTTATTGGTTCCCTGAAAGCTTGGCCCCCGTCCCATCTGCCCCTTAGAGAGAACTCATAAACTCAGCCTGTCAAGAGTAGCACTGAGAGTTATTTGGCTCCACACAGTTTTTTCAAGTTATCATTTATTTATTTTTAACATTTTTTTCTTTGTAAGTTTTGGGTTCCAAATTCTCTCCCTCCCTCCCACCCCTTCCCCTCCTACTGAAAAGGCGAACGAAATGATATCAATTAATTATACATGTAAAATGATGCAAAATCTATTTTCATATTAGCCATATCACCAAAAAAAGGTAAAAATAATAAAGAAAATTATACTTCAATTTGCACTCAGAGTTCGTCAGTTTTCTCTCTGGAGGTAGATAGCATTTTTTCATCATACATCATTTGGAATTGTCATGTATCACTGTATTGATCTGAGTAGCCAAGTTTTTCAGATCGTTACAACATTGTTGTCACTGTGCACGATGATCTCCCAGTTCTTCTCACTTCACATTGCATCAGTTCACTTAGGTCTTTTCATGGTTTTTCTGAAACCACCCCCTTCGTCATTTCTTATAGCACAATAAGTTACTCCATCATAATCATAAGCCACAACCTGTTCGGCCATTCTGAAATTGATGAACATCCCCTCAATTTACAATCCGATTATTTGCCACCAGATAAAATAACTGCTATAAATATTTTTGTACAAATAGGTTCTTTTCCATTTTTAAAAAATCTCTTTGGGAAGGGGCAGCTAGGTGACACAGTGGATAGAGTACCAGCCCTGAAGTCAGGAGCACCTGAGTTCAAATCTGGCTTAGACCAAATATTTGACACTAGCTGTGTGACCTAGACAAGTCACTTAACCTCAGTTGCCAAAAAAAAATCTCTTTGGGATACAGACCTAGTAGTGGTATTGCTGGGTCACAAGATAATGCAGTTTTATAGTTCTGAATTGTTCTCCAGAATGGTTGGAGCAGTTCACAACTCCACTGTGCATTACTGTCCCTGTTTTTCCATATCATCCTTCAGCATTTATCATTTTCCTTTTCTATAATAATAGCCAATTTGATAGGTGTAAGGTGGTACCTCAGAGTTGTTTTA